CGACAGTCGAATGGCAGTTGTTCGACATGGGTGCGTAAATGCACATTTAGATGATGTTTCATAGTAAATGTTTTGGAGCAAACACGGCATTTGAATGGCTTCACACCATTATGGATTCGCATGTGCTGCTTCAAATTTGACAAATCCTGACTTGTGCTTTTACATAAGTGGCACTGGTATTGAGGCCGTTTGCATTTTGTCTCGTGGTTAATCTTGTAGATTTCTTCCTTGAATCCAATTCGGCACTTCGAACAACGGAATGGTAATTGTGCTGCATGGACTTCCTCATGACGAATCAGATTGGACTTCTGATTAAAAGTTTTTGCACATATTTCACAAGCAAAGGGTCTCTCGCCGGTGTGGACTCGCATGTGGCGTGCGAGTATTGGCTTGTGCGATGTTAAATAATGGCATACTTGGCACTTGTGCTTCTTCAATTGTGGTGCGACCTTTGATTTCTTTGATGTTTTGCCCTTGCGCACTTTCTTTGCACCTTTTGGCTTCTTTCTATTGCCATTTGATGTGCTCGGCATATCATTACGTGATGGATTTTCGGCATTAGCGTCAACTGGACCATTATCATCGATTCCACCTTCGCCATCATCGTTTGCTGTGCCGCATTCCTTCTTTGCACATTCATCTTCACATTTGATTTCATCCTTGACATCGTTGTGCAAACAGTCGTCGTCACTCTCGCTCTCCGATTTGATGGTGGCACTCGTTCCAATTGGCGATGTTGGTGGTGAGTACTGAATCGTATCATTCGGCTCTTCTTTGATTTCTTCCTTCACCGTGATTTGTGAACACTTTGGCTTGCATTTGCACTTGTGGCCAACCTTTCCGCCACTAACAGCCTTGCATCGAATTGGATTCATTGTTTTCCTGAATCGAATAACGGTGAAATAGACATATTCAGAGATGTTTAGAATTTCACTAGTCGCATTATATGAACAATGTTAAACAAGAAAAACTATTTGCATAAAAATGTTTCCATGTGGCTCTTCATTGAATTGATTAGGTCAAACAGTTTTTCTCCATTCAATTTAATAATATCTATCTGGAAAATGTACAGCTTTTTTCAAAGCAATGGAAATAAATATGAAAAATTACCTTCCACTTCACGTAAACAAGAACCAAAATGAAAATTTATTCCGAATAAAACGTGTTTCTTCTCTTAGCGTCAGTCTACTATTGCGTGCTATATGCGATAACGTAGCACAGTTCACTCACTGTGTATGGAAATGGGCGGCAGAAATATTGGTTGTATCAACAACGGTATGAAGTTGGCTGTACTTAATTGTCGATGAATTCAACCTTTTTTCAAATCGACAAAATCGCTAATTTTCGTTAACAAAAATATTGAATTCATTATTCTGAATTGGTGAAAATGAAAACTCTTAATTTTTTGGGAATTTTCATTAAATTCCATCCTTAATAACATTTTTTGAAAATACCTTAAACACAAATCAAACTTTGATTATCAAAGTCTATTTTTCTGTTTTGAAGCTTTAAAGCAAATACGAGCATATAGCGCCAAAAAAGTATCAGCACCAACTTTCATGAGCTGTCATTGATCGCTGCGTAATTCACGAAAACAATTCAAAATTCGATAAATTCCACGTATTTAATCAAAAGAAGAAAAAAATTCCGAGTATTTATCATAACTATCTCATATTTCGACTTGTGCTCAGCTATTTACCATTAGATTTCGTTCAATTTGTTCTTATTTGAAATATAACACGTAAGTATCTCCCAAAAAAGACACAACCATAGAATACAACCAGAATTTGTTTTGTAAATATTTGTGTCTCTCTCAACAGATTGCACACCATGTCGAATTCCAAATTAACAGATTACTCCGCTCAATTGCTCTCGAAAATCGGGAAAAATTTGTACCTAAAGACTAAGCTGGCCGATGTATACTTCGTGTTTGAATCCACCGACAAGCCGACCGAGCGTATTCCGGCCCATAAAATATTCTTGGCCACCGCCAGCGATGTCTTCGCCACAATGTTCAACGGATCATGGAAGGAGCAAAACGAAGTGAAGATCGTTGATGTATCGGTGCCTGCCTTCAAAGAATTCCTGCAGTTCTTTTACTTCGACCGTGTTAAAGTGACCATCGAAAATGCGGCCAAGGTCATGAAATTAGGCCACATGTACAATGTCATCGAATGTTTGACAGTTTGCGAAAAGTCTCTGAAACGAACTCTCAACGAGGACAACGTTTTGCAGTCTTATGAGCTGGCGATGTTTCTTAAGCAAGAAAATTTGGTAAAATCCTGCGAGAAGATGATCGGCTACAGCACCAAATCTGTATTCAAATCAGCCAACTTTCTCACATGCAATGCGAACACAATATCACGAATTTTGAAACTGAATTGGTTGTCGTGCTCCGAAATTGAGCTCTTCGAAGTGTGTATGGCATGGGTGAAAGCGACGAGCGGAGAGGAAGTCGTAACAAAGCAAATGGTACAGACTCACCTCGGAGGCTCATTTTATGACATTCGCTTTGGATCGATGACATTCAATGAGCTTGCTACTCTTATTCCATCGTATGGGGCATTAATATCGGGTCAAGAATATCAAGAAATCATTCAAATCATCGCCGATAAGGAATTCCAGTCGAATATGTTTAATGGAATTCGTGAACGTCGCTTTGAAACAGATCCATGGATTGAAGAATGTGATATTTCATGTAATCGTATAATTTCAGTTTACATTGAGGCATTTAACATCAGTAAAGAAGAACAAACAACGTTCTCAACCAGCGATCCACTCTTTTTGAAACGTTTCTGGTGTGTTTGTATTTATGAGAATAAGAACGGTGGCTTTCATCCACTGACAGAAGGACCACGATCTGAATATACAATCACCGAAACACAGACCTCAACTGGAAGTAATGAAAAAGTTGTTCTGGTCCACGGCGAAATTACTTTGAAACGTATTTCTCAAACTGAAGTATCTCTACCTAAACCAATTTTCATTCGGCCTGGTTTCCAATATGAAATCCGGATGAAACAAAATCCACACAATTGCTGCACCAAATCCCAACTGAAGGAAGAAGTTGAAATGGCCACGGGCGTCACCATAAAGTTTCATAATACTCCATTTAATGGCGAACGAAACGTAACAAGAGGTCTCATTAATT